CCCACAGGAAATTTTCCCCTGGAAGGCCTTCTGAACCCCACCACCAGCAGCCCACCATCCTCTCTAGGGGATGGTCCAACTCCAGACATCCAGCCAGCCTTCAGTCCTGGCTCCTGTATCACCTGTGCCAATTCTTGGAAATACATCTTTGTACGCTTCAGGTTTTCAAATGAGATTCCCAGAGCCTGGGGACCCTGCGTGTTGTATAAGGAGACCAGCTTCGTCACAGGCAAGCCTGTTTCCCTCCCCTTGCAGGATTTCATGTTGGACTTTGTGCTCCATTCTGTGAATTATTCTCCCCCGTCTCTTGGTCCAATGCCTCTTGCATACACAAGCACGGTTTGGACAAAGGCCATTTCTTCCAAAACTTGGTAGACTCACAAAGTACCATGAAAATGAGGCCGAAGCCTATAGGCAAATGGCCACCAGAAACCAGTGCAGGATTCTCTGTCTTCATCTTTCATGTGGACAGTCCATGTTTCCACTGGAAGAATTAGAGTCTGGAATTCTTTGCTCATTTAGCTGGGCAGTGCCTGAGCTCGAGTGTGTAAGAGCCTGGTCCAAGTAGGGTTTTGTAAGGGGGCACTTAGTTTTGTTACTAGCACAGACACTTAAACATAGTAGGGACCAAACACCTGTCAAATTAATGTTCCTTGTTGACACTCCTCCACTCGTTTATTTCATATCTTGCTGGGTTTCTTTTGTGCTTATTGGCTTGTTTGTTTTGGGAGTGCTGGGGATCAAATCCAGTGCCTTGTGCCTGCTAGGCAAGTGCTTTACTGTACTACATTCCCAGCCTTTGGCATTCCTCTGTGCTCAGGGAGAAGAAACCAAGCAACTTTTTGGGACAAGTTCAAAAAGCCAAAGAATCTACTAACCTGGAAAGGTCTCCCTGGGCCTGTCAGATTTTGCTGTCACCGTCACCAAGGCAACAGCAACATAACAGCGCGAGGAACATCAGCCCCAGGCTGGAGGGACAGCTATTCAAATACATTCATGCCTGCCCCCTGGTTTCCTTTCTCTGCACATTTGCTGGCTGACTCTACTGAAGCACCTGGGAAGCTCTGCGGCACAGAGCTGCACATTCCTCCTGCCAGCCCTCTTTTTAAATGTTTGCTTTAAACATAATCTGCAGCTTTACTAAGATTATGTCCTGAGCACACATTTTGAACCTCTGTGCTGGAAGAGCTGACACTTTTCTGCACCCACAATTCTTGCCTCCAGCTTTAGGCCCTCGAGCTCCCCTAGGTTTTCTCGTATTTCGGGGACACTTTAGAGTCTACAGAATTACTGAAGACAAAGGCCACACGTTACCCTTACTTCCTGTCTACCATGCGCCTTGCACACGGTAGATGCTTGATAAACATTTTTAGCGAACCAAACTACCCTCCGCTCCGAGTCCATCGGGCACATCCCCTTCCTAAGCCTCTTGTTTCAGCCATGTGCCATTGCTTTTTGTTCCCCACTGTATGTCTTTGTCTGAATCCTCTCAAAATACCAGGGCCAGCCGCCATGCGAGGCAGGAAGCAGAGTCCCTCTGCCACGGCCTTGTCTAGTGGGAAGAGGTTAGGGGTGTGACAACTGCACCCTCAAGGTGATACACCTCGCTGACAGAGAGCGAGGAGGGCCATGTTAATGCCCCCGGGCACGGCCTGCCGAGCTCGCCCCTGTGCGAGCACCAATTAACCCATGTGGCAGAGGCACAAAGTCAGTTGGAAAAGCAGTTCTGTCTGATGTCCACTACTTTTGGGGGTTAAATTACACATGTGGGAGGGAAAGCTACCACCTCACTGTCCTTACAAGGTCCCCTCTCTCCCTTTCTCCAAAGGCAAAGCTGCAAAACTGCATCAGCTGAGTTCTGTTCCCTTTTCAGCTGAATCACGAACAGTAAAATCAAAACAAGATCAAGAAAAAGAAATTAAACAAGCTGGGGGTGTAGCTGCCCAAAGAGAGTGCACGCATAGCGTGTCAAGGCCTGAAACTCGATCCTTACCACCACAAAAAAGGGAAAGAGAGCCGGGATGTAGCACAAGCACCTGCCTAACAAGCTCAGCGTCCTGACTTTGATTCCCAGGACAAAACAAGGCAAGAAAGAAAAAGAAGTAAAACCAAACCCATACCCACATAAGCAAAAAGGAGAAGTTCTTCTGCACTGGGTGAAATCCAAGTTCAGATCAACTGATTGTAGAAAACACAGAACGCGTGTGCTAGAACAGTGACTTAAGGCAGCCATGTAGCATCCACACAGCAGACACAGGAGGTGCCCTGAGGTGCAGGTTCCTCCCGTGATCAGTGAGGGACAGCGGCAGGGGGAGGGCCAGAGAGGCCATAAGCAGAGTGGAAAGCTGGGTCGGAGCTCCCTTTTCCTATTTCAGATCCTGCGTGGATGTTTATTTCTAATCAAAAGTTTATATCTTGTCAGTTTGAGAAATACAATGACCCCTCTACCCAGGCCTGACACTTAGACAGGGGCCCCCCAGCCCCCCACACTATGGGTCTGGACTGGAGCCCTGTGAGCAGGCAGGCCAGGGACTGTCACCCCATTACACAGATGAGAAAACAACATCTGAGCAAGACTCGCTGCAGGCCCTCTTGACTGGAAGAATGATGTAACCTGAATGTGAATTGGGCTCTTCTAATGCCAGACTCAACTCTCCCTGCCTTGGGCAGCTGCAGGAAGGGCAGGAGCTCCACTGAGTAGTTAGCGAGGTCCCTCCGGCTTCTCTTCTCCCTTTTAAACAGGAAGTAAGAGCACAGATTCCTGTCCAACGCCCAACCCAGCGCATTAGTCCACTTAGCCCCGAGGCTCAGGGGCTGCAAACTCCGTGGCCAGCAACTGGCCAGCTGTCAGACCAAAGAGAGCCAAGAGTCACATTTTTATGTGAACGTTTCTTCTAGTGAAACAAACCTATCTAGAGAGATTTATACCAAAGAGGCTCCTTGTAGCTCGGCCAAAAGGGGAAAATAGGCAGGTGAGAAGGCTTTCTATTTTAGGAAATGTGTCAATTCTCTATCAGCAGAGCCTGGGCATCTGGCCAAGTCCCTGGAGGGAGAAGAGCGCAGAGCTGGGCGGCTTTGGCCACCCCGAGGCTAAGGACGGCCTGCGCCAGCCCCTCTGGGCTCACGCTGGGGAACGGCCACCGTGGCCAGCTCCCCTTCCACCTCCTCTTGACAGGACTCACTTCCCATAGCACGACCCCGAGCCCCCAGAGGACGTGGGATGATCATGCCTGGCCCTCCTCCCAGCAAAGCCCCGGGGAGAACAAGCCCCAACCCCTTCTCGGCTCCTGCTCCTTCCTCGGAGAAGAGATGGCCTTATGCAACAACTGTGGGAGCTCAGCAGTTTCCTCCCCTGTAAAAGCACAGAGCGACACCTGTTCCATAGAGTACGGTGACTGAGTGAGACAACATATGTGACACCTAACATGTAATGAGCACCCAATTAAAAGAGTTATTTCCCCTTTTCCCCGGAGATAATTCATGAACTTTTTTGTGGCCTCAACCCCTTATAGACCTTATTCTGTAACATCAGTGACACCTTCCCCTGCACTCCACGGACGGCTCTCTCTTCATGTCAGCTGCATGGTTCTATCTGTGGCTCCTTCAGTCCCGTTTCAAGTCCTCGGCTCGGCTGTATGTTTTATTGATGAAGCACACACGTATCTATTGCATACGCAGGACTCTTCTAGCCTTTTGCAAATGCTCTTTCTCTTAAGCATCACAGCTCCATCAAATGCTCCCAGCAGCATGTGTGAGGTGCTAATTTTGCAAAGGAAAATTTGGCTGCTAACCTTTATTTCTATTTCTAAATACAGTATAATAGTTCTGAGTAAGGTGTTTCAAAGTCTTAAACCTTCAGAAAAACATACTATTTTTCCTTAAGAACTTTCCTTGGTTGGCTCATTCCACCATATATTCCAAGATTTTAACCACTTTCAGAGTCAAAGCCTAACTGCTCTGCTTAGCAAATTACGAGTATGGATCCTTCTCAGGCCTTTTCACTTTAGACAGTAAGAAGGATGTTGGTGACAAGTCAGGGGACTCAGCCAAAGGAAAGAGGATTAGCAGCTTCCAGGGAGCAAACATTTCACATTAAAAATCTTTACACAGACTCTGGGCCAATGCAGCACAATGCAGTGTGATCAGAGGGAGCAATCTAGAAATCAATATTGACTGGGCAGCCAACAGAGCACTTATGAAAATAGCCAACCAGTGGATTGTCTCCTTCAAATATCTGGCAGCCACCACTCCCTGAAGCACAAATAAGCAAATTTTCTAAACCAAAATAGTATCCAGAGTCTGATAAAAAAAAAAAAAGGAAGATAAATTAGCAAACTGCTGGGCATCTTTTAAAAAATTATAAAGCATCTCTACAAAGAGAAGTTAAAATAAGACAAATGCCCAGAAGGGCCGCCAGTCATCATCATCATGGCCCTATTAACTAACGATAGTGAGGAAGAGACTCCCGCACCATCCAACAGTCACCCAGTTTAGCACTGTGCGTATCTTCTGCTCTGCCTCCTGGTCTGCCCACAGGTAGATGGGACAAATAAGGAGGCCAAATGTGTTTAAAGAGCATCACAAAAAAGCAAGATAAAGGGAGTGAGAGCAGATGCACAGATTCCCAATAGACAAGGCCTCTTTCCAAGTATTTGAGACTCCACCGAGAACTTGGTCTTCTGCTGGCCGAAGAAGACGGAGGAGGCCCTGAAGGGGCCACGTTTCCATTCCCCACCAGCACGCCCTTCCCCGGCGTCCTTGAGCGCCTGCACATACTGAAAAGACCGAGACCTCAGGTTCCCCAGACCCTGTCTCACGTAACCCTTCCTTTTATTTTATAGTAAGGATACTATTTTATGCATATTTAGTGAAAATTTACAAATAATTTTCTTCTGGACCAGGGCTGCTTTTATCAGATGTCTACTTGGTATTTGCTAACATGCATGCAATAGGAAGTTTGATTTATTAACTAAAGAAAGGAAAAATAAAATATTACTTACTAGAATCAGTGGGTCTGGGGTTTGGAAGCAGGATGTCATTTTCCTAGAACCAATCGAGAGGGGATCCATTCGGGTCAGACAAGGACTCCTGAACCACCCTACCATGTGAGGGCCTCTAGTCCTTTGATTCCTGCTCTGAGACTAAATCCTGCAAGGATATCCTGGATTCAACAACCCAAGACAGGCATTTGTGCTTCTCCCTGGAAGGATCTGGTCACCTGAGCTCTGGCACCACCAAAGGTGCAAAGTCCCCTTTGCTAAAGTACTCCTGCTGATAGCACCCTGCCAGAGCCGAATGCATCAGACACCCTCTCTTCCCTGTCTCCACCTCACAGAATGGGAACGAATTTCTTTTCTGTGGAACCCACAGCTGATGTGCTTTAAAATGCAACGTGACATGAACTCCCTGGTGGCAGCCCCTGTGGTTGCCATGGCACCTCAAGGCTGCTTAGCGTCCCTGCTTCCTGTGCAGACCCAGACGGCAGCTCCTTAGGCAGAAAGGCAGAATGCCAGTAAAGCTGAGGCACTGAGCAGGGGCGTGGAAATCTCATTTTAGTCTATACAGTCCCCATCTTGGTTTCACAACCATGTGACTTCCTTGCATACTTCCTGTCAACCCTAAAAAGCAGATGTTAAAATAAAAGCCATAAAGGTCATCCCTGGTGAGTGGAAAATATACAAAGGATTCTGCCAATCTGTACAGCAGATAATTAGCCCCAAGCCTATGGCAGGTGCTCAGTAAACATTGGTTAAGTGAAAAAAAGTAGCTCAGCTATGGCTTAGGCCACCCAGAAGTCACGGTCAGTGTTTGTGTTTGAACATTTGCTGTATCACTTTCCACCTTCCGGAATGCTTTCATGTGTTATCACATTTGACCTTTGCAGTCAGGAAAGGGCACGAGAGCTGCCCTGGGAAATCATTTCCAGTTTGCAGCTGAAAAACTAAGATGAAGAGCGGTGACTCAGCAAGTCTGTCAAGGACGCGAGGCGGGGACCCCAGCCTCCGCCGGCTGCTGACCTACCCTCTCCTCCCCCGTGCCTCGCCCTGGGCCCTCCTCTTCCCCCTGCCCTAGGTAGGAGTCACTGGACACAAGACTCGGCCTGCTCTGCCCCTGCCCCAGCGCAGTGGGGACTCTAACGATGAAACATTTATGTGGTGAGCAGACCTTGCATTTCAGATCCAATTCCACACTTGCCTGTATTACTTTACAGTGAGTTAGACCGACGTCAGTGTCCGCTGCCTGCTGCCCCTGCTGCTGTCGGGTCACTCACTCCAGTCTGGGCATGAGTCATCCCAACCCGTTAGGGAAGCCGATCAGCCCAAGTGGGCTCCAGGGAGCTAGAAGTATGGTCTGGGCCAGGGCCCCACGCATCCAGCCTCCTCAGGACTGGCAGTTCTTGCCTTCCAGCTTCTGGCTCCAGGGAATTAGCTCTTCCTTCCACCAAATGCTCTCCTGACAGCGCCCTACAGGACTTATTTTCTCACAGAACTGCGTGGTGAGCAGACGACCACAGCCCGGCCTTTAGGATAAAAAGTACAAATGTGGGGAAATCACCAAAAGGCTCTGGAGAGTCACGAAGTGCTCCCAGCCATCGTTCTGGTGACTTTTGTTCCACTTCATGTTGAGAGACCGGGTGGGCCTGACTCAACCCTGAGGACACGTTTCAACACATTTCCCCTTTGTAAGCTGAGTAGCCTCACTCAGCCGGCAGGCATGAGGGGCACTAAGCTCTGGCACTCTGAGACCTGGTGCAGCCCACTTTACAGTGCAGGTTTGAAGAGTAAAGGAGATAACCTGCATATGTCCTTGCATGTGGTAATTATGTGGGTTGCTAAGGACTCTCCACTTGGCCCACCTACGTGCATGCTTAGCCCTCAAGAGGCTGACCCCTGAGGGCTGCGTCGCCCAGACTACCCTAGCTGGCCAGTGAAAGGCACTCACAGGAAACACTGCCCGCCATTTCTTCCCTGCTGTCTCCCCGTGTTGGCGCCCTGTCTCTGTCCTTGCCCGGTCTCCTGCTCCCACAGCACCAGATCTCACCGGTTAGGTCCAGGGTCTCCTCCCTCCCTGGGTCCTTTCACCCCAGGGAGACAATGCTTCTCACTGATCCAATCTCTGCGTACCTCAATGTCCCTTATCAGTTCCCTTAACCCTACCCACACCTGTGTCATAATCCCTTTATTAAATCTGTCTTTTTCTTTCTTTCTCTACAATTTGAGGGCAAATTCTGTTTTCTGCCTGGATCCTGATGTACACGTACAGGGACACTGACGTTTGTGTCTAACTGGATAAAGGAAGAGCCAATCAGACCCATCACTGTTCCGGGAGCAGGAGCCTCGCAGAGCCCAGGCTGGGTAACTTATGCTCAAGCAAGTAAAGGGAGCTGCCCTTCCTCCCTCGCCTCTCCAGGGGCAGGGCCTCGCGGCACATCCTGATAAAGCACTCGGCGTAGGCTGCCAGCAATCTGACATGGGGATGGAAGAATACAGAGGCCTCAGAGGTTCGGTATTTTCTGGAATGTAATGATTCTGCTGATGCTTGGGAGTTTGGCAACAGCTATTTTCAGTCTCAAGACGTTTAAATCATTTCTTTGTTCTTTCTGCTACGTAACCAGGGCACCACTATGAGTCGGGGGAATAGCTTTTTGGGTTTGCTGGTGGAGGGAGAGCTTTTGTTTTGCTTTTCCCCTTGTTCTGGAGGAGTTTGACCCACACACTTGGCATTTTCTCCTGCAGTGGGTCTCCAGATACCTCTTCTTCAAAGTGGTGATACCTCTGTCCTTCAGTCTCTGACATTACTTCTGTTTTCCACTTAAGGGCAGGTGTCTAATTTGGGAAATTCAAAACTTTTCTTTCTCTTTTGTATTTACCTCCTTTGGCTTCCAAGTAGCCACAACCTTCACTGTAAGGTCAGTCGGCAGGTCACTTTGATGGCCACTGATTATACATTCATTTGCTACAGGCTTGCATGTGTCAGGGGAAACAATAGTAACCAAACACTCTCCCTCCCCTCTCTGACCTTGAGACCAAGAAATAGAAATTTTGGATTCTGCAGTTTCAACAGGGAATTGTCAGATGGGGCGGAAGGGAGTCCTTGCTGCTCCACCCCGACCATGAGCGTTCCGGGGGAGGGATCAAGTTCACAGCTCTATTTTCCACCCTCAAAGGAAATGTGCTTCATAAATAAGTAACCACACCTGAGTTACTATGCAAATAAGCTCGGCTCTGTTTTCTGGACAGCCAAATCTGCTTTTCCACGAGCCCTTCTCTCCAGCTCCCATCACGTGTGCTGCTCTGTGACTCGTTTAGCAGGCTCTGTCATTGCTGAACCAGACAACCGGCCTGGAACAGACAGGGCAGTTTGAAGAGTCTCTCCCTGGTCTCTCGGAGGCTGAGTTTCTTTCAGGCCAATGATTATCCAGGCTTAGTCTTATGAAGAAACATACCAAGAAACCTGCTCCAGAAAATATCAACAGTGATAAACTGAACCATTTATATTAAGAAATGGGGAGGAGAGCAACAGCAAGAAACCAGCAGGGCAGGAAAGCCCGATGCCTTCCCTTTACCTCACACAAAAGCTTGCAGAAGCTGAGGTGCAGGCTGCTGAGAAAGTAGCATTCCAGCTGGGAATGGTTTCCCAATTGCTTTACAGATTCTAAAACTTTATCCCCTCTTCCAACACTTTGGACTGTGCCATACCTAAAGAACTAATCCTGCATCTTTGAGAAGAGAGACTCTTAGGGCTGGGGATACAGCGCCTGCCGGCAAGTGTGAGGTCATGAGTTTGATCCCCAACAGCAGAAAAAAAAAAAAAAAGGAGACTCCAAGTTACTCTGTGTGGATGGCATAGGACAGAGAGTGAACAAAGGGTCTGACATCCTTGCTTCCCGTTATCTCTTGTGAGAAGTCTTCAAATCAAAAACAAATTGAACGTTGGAGTTTAACAATGACATTGGAGGTCACTTAGTCTAATGGTCTCTCTCTGTTTTGGAGAGGTAATCGAGGAAATAGCCTTGACCGAAGATCACAAGCCAGCGCCTGAACTAACCCAGACTCCGGTCCAGCGTTCTGTCAGCGACACTGCTGTCCCGGGAACTCACTCCCAAGGCGTTAGCTGAGGACAGAAGAATACTACAGGGCCACTAAGGCAACAACGAAAAACTGCAGGAGAGAAACTGAATGACGGTCTAAGCCGGTTAACATGGGGCTGTGACTCTGCCTAAGAAGGAGAAAGAAAGGAAAGTGTGGAAGAGAAAGAAAGGACAGAGTAAATGTGACTGTGCATTTACTCCACGGAGCAGAGTGGTAGAGGTTTGGGAGGCATCCACAGCAGGAAATGTGTTCCTGGAGGAGAAAACGTTCCTCGTGTAACTGAGCACAGTGTGAGGGCAGCTTCAGCTGCAGAAGGAGGTGGGGGAAGCCGCCTGTCTGCGTGCTGTGATGCTCCCCAGGCTCCTCCCCCGGGGAGGACTTCATGGCCCGTGTAGTGGGTGAGCTCCCGGAACAGCACGCTGCCTTGAGAAGTCCCTGAAAGAACCTGTCTGCCCAGACAGCCTTCTTCTGGTAGCTGCCCCGATCCAGTGGCTCGTCCACACACGTTTGTGTCCAGCCCCAGTGCCCATCCAGGGCACCTCAGAAGGCCCCTTCCAGCCTCCGGGCATCTACTCAGCCAGCCAGGCCTCTGCTGAACTGCTTCAGAGCTTAACTTTTCTGAGTCCAATCCTGCTTTCATCCCTCACCTCCCTGCGTTCCCCTCTCCTACCCTGCCAAGTGTGGCTACAAGGAGCCTTTCCTAATACACAGTTTGTACACGAAACATCTCCAAGTCAGCTTTCGGATGACACTACCCCGCAACACTGCTTATTGGGTAAATGTGCACAGCTCCACTGAAGGCAGATTTTTACCCATTGAGTCTGGTCAGGTTACTCACACCTGTGAAAAAACCTTGCCTGAATTTTTTTTACAGAATGAAATTGTTGTCATATTGCTACCAACAATATCTATATTGGGGCATCCAAGCACTGGAGCATGTCCTTTCATTCACAGGGCCATACCCTCTGCCCACCAGCCAGCCAGGTGCAGGAACAGGCGGTTCTTCTATGGATCCTTAAGACCACTCCAAAGCCACCCTTGCAGCTGGCACTGTGTATAAAGTTAATAACCTTAACTATTAAAACTGTTGCCCTAAGCCTTGTGGTACCTGCCTATAACCCCAGCTAGTTGGCCGAAGCAGGCGGACTGCAAGTTTGAGTCCTACCTGGGCCACTTAGCAAGACCCTGTCTCAAGAGAAATAAATAAATCCATAAAGAGGGCATGGAATATAGTTTAGCCTGAAGGCTGTAAGCTCAGTCTCCAGTGCAAAATAAAACAAAACATTTTCCCTGAAC